TGATTGAGTGCTGACTGCCCTTCTGAGATACAGAGGGAGTGAGAGAGCTGAAAGAGATGGAGGGGAAGGAGGGGAAGTACATAAAGAGGTGTAGAGGTTAGGCTAATCTCAGCTCTTACGGTTGTTAACGGATAAAGGATCGTTGTGTAGAAGACACCGGGGGAAAATAAGCCAGGGTCAGGCCACTGGTTCTGTAAAGAAGCAGGAAGAAAGAGACGCGTTAAAGGTTCAACACACATCGGTACAGCGCCCTCGTTCTTCGCCGACCTATAATTTCTTCTTTCTCTCCTCCCTTCCTTTCCAGTTTTTCAAAGCAGCCAACATCCCATTTAATCTGATTACTGTTTCACTGTTTCATCTCCTTATTTAACTTTTTTTTTTGCATGCATGCATGCAACTGAAAATCACAAGTCTGACTGTGCGTGGTGGGTGCCCACCCTTTCTTTCACCACCATTGAAGCACACAAACATACATGCAAATGTGGTAGACGGAAGGAAGTTATGGATGTTGGAAGGAATTCAGTGGGTTGGGTTGGGGGCGGTAAAGAAAGAGCCAGAGAAGAAAACTGAACGAGTACAAATTGCAGAAAGAAGGAGGGAAGGTGAAGTTGGAAGTGGGAGGAATAGAAGGCTTTTATCCCCAACAGCCAGCAGGGACAAACAGAGTGGAGCCATTCTTTTTTTTTTTTTTTTTTTTTCGATAGATCAAGATGTAAACACTGGAAGAGATTTTTACAGAGTTGCAAGAAATCTCAGCGGGTTTAAACACAACAAGCCCAAAAAGTGTGTGTATGCATGTGCATTTGTGTACGTTGGTCTGTGCCTGACTGTTGGAGAGAGTACTCACTCCCTCAGAGACACCCTACCGCCTCCCACTTTGTCTGATTTTGGCTTCCATTTGTGTGGAAGGGGTTACTTTTAAATTTGCTGATGTGGGGTGGGGTGGGGTGGGGGTGGGGGGGCAATTAATAAATATTTTTGGCTCTTGTGGGTGTAGGTCAGTGACCCTGAGAGGCGGTGTGTGTATGCGTGTGTGCATGTGTGTGACCCGTAGCCCCTCCCCTTCTGTCCACCCCCCATTACCCTCTGCTTTCAGAGGCAAGGCTCTCATGCATAATGCAGAGAGAACAGGGAGGCTCTCATTAATAATTACTGCCGCCTTTGATGGATGGAGAAAATAACGAAGGGGGCTGTTAAAAATGGAGAGAGCGAGAGAGAGATGGAGGCGGGAGGAGAGAATCAGAGTTTTTTTTTTTTTTTGGGTGGTATTTGTTGCTGTTGTAGCTCTTTGAGGACTGAATGCTTATGGGGATGCATTTGGAGTTAGTATAATCAAAAGCTGGGCTGATGTTTTGGATGGTGTTAATATTTTGATTAGGAAGCATCTCCTCTTCTGATGGTGGAGGGAGCTCTGAAGATGAGATGAATCTTAATTGTCTTTGTGTTGGAAGCAGCTATTACCACTCAAGGGTTTTTGTCTCCTGACTTTTGTCTAATATTCCATATCTTCAAGCATTTCTGTGAGATGTAAAGCCTTTCCCCGTCTTTACCGTTTTTTTATTAAAAATTACTTAATTATTTATTTTCTAGATATTAAAGATCGCTCTGCTGTAAAATAGCTTTTATCAAATAACAGCAGTCAAACCATTAGTTTGATGATAAATGACAAGTTCTCTTCAAATAACTATTATGCATATTTTGTCTATATATATATATATATATTGTGTGTGTGTGTGTGTGTGTGTGTGTGTGTGTATATATACATATGTGTGTATGTACACATTACACATTTTATCTATGTATGCTTGTGTTTGTGTGACTGACTGCATGAGTGATAGACTGACAGACTGGACACGAGGACTGACAC